CTTTGAGGCGGGCTGGTATTTGCTGTCCGATCAATTCTCACTCGATCTGCAAATTCAGCTCTGCTTGCGACTCTATTAAAAGCTGCACGGGGGGAGGGCGGAAGTCGCTTTAAGAGAAGTGGATGATGGGTAGTAAAGCTAATGTTGACTCGAATGCGTGGGATCACATGCGCTCAGCTCTGAGATTCGACAGTCAGCGGACAGAGTTCATATGAGCTGCAGATATGTCGATTTTAGAAACTGTAGTAGACGAGGTAAAGTTAGATTGTGGACTCAAAGACGATAAAATATAAAGGATTTTGACGGTACCCGGAAGACGTAGGTCTAAGGTAGAACGGTTACAAACCAAGGGATCTGCGCCGACATCGATGATGCTTGCCGAGATTGTGCTGCATGGGTAGAAGTAGTTTATGCTATCACATAGGGTGTGAGGAAAATCGAATCGCATCGAAAAATCTCCAGCGAAAGTCCGGTGGTAGTAGATCAACTGTAGAAGTAACTTGGAGTATAGTGACCAACACATGCGCCAAAATCGACCAGTTCTTAAGGAGAGAAAAAGATGTAATGAAAGACGAAGGAAATAACACGGACTAAAGGAGGAGGAGGGAGTTCTGCAACTCAGGAGAACATCACTGACGTAGGTCTAGTAAAAAGTCCTAAGGGGCGAGCTATTACGATTTACCATGATAGGTACCTAGGGTGACGTCAATGCAGAGTGTACTAAAATGCAGCGTTTCGAGCTATGGATGTGTCAGGTTTGGACGGTAGCCAGTAAAACGTTGAATTCGCGGCGGTGATTAATCATGTACTTATAGCACTGAGAGATGAACAAGTCTTCGTGAAGGAGGAAATTTCTCCAACAATAAAAGATCTCGAGCAGATTCGCATCATGAGCGCAATGATTTTGCTTTGACCGGAGGATCGTGTGCTTGTGATGAAAGGAAAATGTAATGATACTGGCACAGAGGCCTGAGAATTCAAATCGGCAATCACATGAAAGTGTAGAATGTACGCAAGCAGTCTCATGCGCTGATTCAGTTCAACTGGGTTATTCAGGTATGGGTCGGGTGCCAAATTGGAGTGTACTGAAAAGTACAATAACAACAAAATGGTGATAAGGAGAAAAATCAAAGAAACAGAAATTCACAAAGAAATTTCAAGGCTGAAGAGACATCAAAAGTAGTAATAGCCGGATCAGAATGTTCACACCAAACAGAGGACCAGACCTAGAGCGCCACTGACATCGAACCTGCGAAAAGTCAGAAAAGGTCTTCAATTACTAACGTAGCTGCATTCAAGAATACAGAGCGGACCAGCCCGAAGGAGTAGAAAGTAATGTGACGCAGATGCGACATATTCTATAAGCCGTCTCTCAATGGATCTGAAACAGTGTCCTCTGCGCCACCTGGTCGATAGCAAGGTGACAATGACTGCACCAATACAGAAGAATTAAAAACAAGGAGCGCTCTAGCAATGTATCGTCAATTTATTGTCACTGACAGGATATGAAATCGCAACTGAATCCGCCGAAAGCAGACGACTGAACACAGCGTCGAGTAAGAGTTCTAACCTCGGAATGCGATAAGAAATCACTAGCCTCGGGGGAAAGTTACATATTTCGGAGCGAAATGTGTATACATATGACGGATAGAATCGCGCATCGCACATTTAGGCATCGCTAAATGTATGAGATTAGGTCAGCTGTAGACGAAACAAATGGCGGAACTACATCGGTGGAGTGGCCAAAGAGTTCAGTAGGAAAATATCTTACCTGTGATAGGCAAAGGAAAAGAAAACGTGTCAGTTAAGTAAATATTTGGAGCCGCAGAATGCCTGAAAATTGGCTAATCGGATACGTATTCCAGGTTCACAAAACGTTCGGAAGCAAATGCTGACGAGTTGATTTACAACTCATACTGATAAGAGATATAAGGTTAACTAATTTTGACAGAACCAAAAGGCAATGAGGAACAAGCCAGCAGTTTGGTGGGCGCAATGTTGGTTGGACACTGATGATGGCAGAAGCTCGTTAAAAACTACAGATACAAAGAATGCGTTTATGCAAAACGGTGTGCTTGCAGTGTCAGATAACGGAATTCTTTCAATCTCCGCTTTCCCGATCAGGCAGAATATCAAATAGCGCTGGACAGGTTGTCCATGATTAACAAATGTCACAAAACCCGTACAGTCCGTTCGAAAATCGAGCGACTTAAAATCTACACTCTTTGATGATGAAATAAAGATGAGTAACAACGCAGCTGCAAAAGGCTGCTATTGGCATTTACCGGACGTGTGGTTAGTGAGGCGTACAGTTTGGACGATCAGGAGAATTAGCAGCAGCCTCAACTCGAACCTCTTTGGTTGTGATGGCTGAAGCATAAGTTGTTGCTCACGCACAATCGGGTACTCAAAAAATCCGTTCGGATCTATCCACATTATGAAAGCAACATAATTTGAGTCGGAGGCCGCGACAAGAGTAATGTACTAATTGCATGAAGAACCAGGACAACATTTGCTCTGATTTCTAGTTCGCCAGATGCGTATATTTTGTGCAGTAGCCCAATTAGCTACTATCAGATTCTGTACAAACGTGGAAACATTCCACATCAGACTTCGGCACATTGTCTACATAATTCATTTATGACCATGCTCCCAACAGAAAAATCTTCCAACGAATTATTTCAGCGTAGACCGAAAAGTACACACCAGTAGGGAAAACAGCCACACGAAAATCATTGCGCCAATGGAAACGTGTGTCCCAGAATGTTTAAGAACACAAACATTATTGATTCCTAAGGTTGCTAAGACAAGAACACGGTCAAATCCGCACATAACAGTGGCCTCATGATAGGAACAGTCCCTTGTGTATCCGAAAATTTCATGTACTACGGTAATTATTATCGTTGTTCTTACTATTGTTTGCCTACGTTATGTGAATTTACCCGGTTCAGCAGTTCGAAAACGGAGATGAGAATCAAGAATAAGAGTTGTAATGTCATTCGATAAGGACCGTATTTGCTAGGCCAGTGAGCGCTTTTTGATACAGAAGAGACGCTACAATGAGACAGGCCATACAAGTTAGATTCCGCGCATACTTAAAATCTCGATGAAATGAGCTGAAAAAGGAAGTGCACATCTAAGCTCCGCTTCATTGATCTGAACGCAAAAGCTAGATGGAACGACATACCTCATAACGATGGGTAACGCAAGGAAGGAATGAAGTCGTCTGACCACAGAATAAGCTATCGGAGTATCATAAAGTGTCGCAAGATACTTGAAAATTAGAACGGGATAACAGAAAGTCACGATGAGAGCTTACCAACAACGTCGTTTTGGAGAATTTCTTGGAAAACGGGGAAAAAGGCTGTTTCGAAGCACACAACTGAAGCCAGATCCACGGTGCATGTGATCTGAATGCACAGGCACATCGTTTCGAACATGAAGTGATTGAAGCTTGGTTTGCTTGGGTTCTGAAAAGAAATCGACAACAGAGTTATTGAAGCGTGGTTACATAATTCCCACAAATGGTCACGGACGACTATGCCGCTAAGTCCACAGGCTGGCACATAAATAAAGATGGTGATTTCATGATGTTGGCACGGCAAACGTTTAGCCAAATGCAAGCACAACAGGTGTTGAACAGGCGTTAAGGAGCACAACATCTTTCGGTGCAGCACCGCAATCTTACTGAAATATAACTTGAGATTCTAATATGCGACATATTGTACGCCGCAAGGGGTGCAAGACTGATGAAAAAGAAGCTGGTCAAATCAATGTGATGAAAAAATTAACAAAACAATACTTGTGTAAAATATCAAAACAAAGCCGACGGATGATGAAAGCTGATAGGGTGAGAAAAGTTGCAAATGCTCTCTTACCTTGGCGACTTGGGTAAGTTTAGACAACAAGCAGGACACAATGTTGTTCATAGAGGGCAAGCAACGTTCCTGCAGACAACTGCAAACCCTCATCAATGCTGCGGAATAGGGAAGAAAGAAGAGCTTGTCGTGAACGTATAAGGTTAACGGAACATGTCGTTGCTATTTCTAGTCCACAAAACAGCTGAATCGATGCCTTCAATGTGTGACAAAAATGGGATTCATTGGACGGATGCATATACAAAATATGAAATAGGTACTGCTTTACATGAAAGTGATAGGACAAAGAGTCTCAACTTGACGTAGGTGTAAAATAGATAACGTTGAGAAAATGATATAGTGAGAGCGACTGAGTTGGAATCACGAACTATATGGAGACTGAGATGTGAGAAATGGCTATACCATGAGGGTTAAGAGCGACGGATTAATGCAGTTAACTCGAGTGGGTGTTTGAAATAAAACTAATGGACATTTTAGGGTATAGTGATTGATAGATGGTGTAAGCGAGGTACATGATGGTTATCGGTTATTCTGGAATCTATTATGCAGACTGATGAATATAGGCTTACCAAAATAAAGTACGGTGCTCTCGTGCAGAATATTTAGAGAGATATGAGAAAATCGACTAATCGAGTTGGGAAGTCACTTGGAAATGTTAACGAGGAGCTCATCAGCAATAACCTTAAGGGTTGAATTGCGGTCTGGAAACCAACAATTCATACCACCAGTAGGAGTGTTCGAATGCGACAAAGATTCCTGATGAATAGGACATCAGACAGTTGCGTGACACTTTGTACCGCAGCGCAAACCAACTGAATGAAGTGCACCCTCACACGGTTTATGAAGAGCTATAAAAATGTAACGCAAGGCAAACATTTGGCCGCACCCGAACCCTTAAGATCAATGGGAGATAAAATGCCGCAACAATCGTAGCACAACAGCGAATCATCCATATGTTGGTTGTGCCAACATATGTTGAGAGATGGTACACAATAGAGAAGCGACCATGCTATGGGCATAAGATCGACTCTAATCAAAGCGCGGCCACTACATGTGAAGTGCATACCAAATATACAAAGAAAGTTTGACATGTGATTAAAGATATGGTTACTAATCTTGATGAAGGACTGAAAAACCTTAGAATAAATTCGCAGTTTTAACTCCTTGAACTGTGCATACCAATGCATGAGCTGAACAATTCAGATGGTATATTGAGGGATCCAGCTCGAAGAAATCACTCAAGTTTGATTGCATCGCCTTACACTGGTACAAACCAGAAGAATTCTGTTATGATCCTCAGAGTTACGTCGTGTCATTCTGATTGGCTATCTGGAACCATACCATTCAGTTTAGACTTATCCATAAGACAAGGCTTCCGTCGCTAGTTAAATGGCCGCGGATCGCAATACAACTACACGGCGCAGACTATTATTATTAATATGATCTTGGTGAACTTTCTGGGTGTTTTCTGTTCTCTATTATGCTTTAGCTAACAATAATAATAGCAAATCGTCTGAGAACATTCTACCGGATTGGCGAAAAAAGGTTGGATTTTTTATCTCTACAGAGTTCACTGAGCCATTCTTTAAGAGGTGCTCTCTTAATATAACTAAACTTGAAGTTTATTGGTCAAAAATCAGTAAACGAGAGAGCCTAATCAAACTACATAATTTATAGACAACGAAGCCTAACCAAATTCCTGGGCTTAGTTGTATAACCAGAGGCATTTCAACCATAATTGAGACTTCAATGGAAGCTTTCCCGTCTCTTGACTTTGAAATCGCACGGGACTTAAGCTGCAATAGCTGCATCATATTGCATGCAGTTGGTAGCAAGAGTGCAGTGAAATCCTTTATTGATTAGAATTAAGAAAAAAAAGTTATCCTAATTCATCGAACGAACTAGATCCTTGAAAGAGTTCCAGTTAAGAGAATTGAACAGACGATAATGCATTGTGTTCGGTACATCGGAAATGCGTAGTCTTAGGCGGCATTTGATTACGCGATGATCGCTCCCCAGAAATTCATCAAGAACGTTAACACTGATTGCAGGTATGCCCAATGAAAACATGAGATCCAGAGTACTTTCATCTCTGCTAGATTGAGAGACGTGTTGCTGACAACCATTCATTTGGATACAGGAGATAAGATTTTGGTATTTCAAAGGAGCGGTTCCTATGGGCTATGAAATCGAAGGCAGATTGAAATCACCTCCAATAATCTTATGCATAAATGTTAGGCTAGCAGCGCATTCAAATGCAAGTGTCAAAAGTTCTAGGCTGCAGTTTGACGTGCTGTATATACATCCCATGATCAGGTGCTGCGGATTAACAGATATCGTAAGCCATAGTGATTTCTGGACATCGTTCAGCACTGGGTTATCGAACGTTACTGCTGCGAGCGATATTTTCAGATAAATTACACAGCCACCACCTCGACGACTAGGCCGATTTCTCATAAACTTGTCATATCCGAAAATAGTTGACCGATTGTCAGACATGTCACCATGGCAATAACATGCAGTTGTAAATATTATGTCAGGATTATTCACCAAAACAAATGAGCGTAGTGTGTGGATCTTAGAATGAAGAAAACGAATGTTTATAATAAAGACAGATAGATGTGAGATGAGGAAGATTGTTTAGGCTGTGTTATAAACAATGGGGCTTCAAGCCTTGCCTGGACCCAGACTAGAAATTGTCGAAAAAGTGCGTACATCGCCAAGGGTGGAGAGTAATTTGGAGGTAGCCACAGAGGAGCGGGTTACGACTGAGCATGGACTGCTGGAAAATGGTTCGAGGAAAAAAGTCCATAATTGCTGTAATAGCTTGTGGGAGCTGGAGAGTTAAGTTGTGTCATCTGAATCATTAACAGGCTGTTGATTACGTAACGCATTGATAGGAGTTAGTGGGTAGCTGCGATTTTCATCCATGGGTAAAATCCGCTTACTTGCGCTAGATATACAAGGATTCACTATACGCGGAGGAGGTACGCTGGAGTCAGTCCATAAACAACCATCAGCATAATCCTTGTGACTCCGTCGAGCTCGTCGAAGAGCTCGATAAAATGTACTTGTCCGATAAGGTGATTCATTCTTTAGATGTGGAATTCCTGTTTACTAAGGTACCGCTATACCAGACCGTTGATTATATCTACGAATTAGCAGAAAGTTCCGGATGTTCGTTGCCGATTCCAGTTGCATTCTTAGGCAAATCATTACTTCTGTGCACAGAGAATGTCGATTTCCACTTCCGAAACATACTGTATCGCCAAATTGATGGGGTAGCCATGGGCAGCCCACTGGGTCCCATACAAGTGGATTCCTTCATGCTGGTGATAGAACGAAGCCTATCCGAAGAAATAACGCAGTTACCCTATTACAAACGTTACGTGGACGACATCTTGGTGTTCCGTTCAAAAGAAACGAACATCGCACAGCTAGTAACGAGTTTTAACTGCTCTCATGTCAATTTGAGGGTTTCCTGCGAAGTCGAACAACAGAATTGTCTTCCAGCCGCAGGGAAAACGGACTGGTAAAAAGGTCTGTCTACCGAAAAACAAGGTAGTTGGGGCAATATCTGCATTTTAGCAGCTTCACGCCAATGCGGCACAAGTGAACGCTTGTGAAGACCGTATTTAGTCGCACCAGACGAATATGTTCAGCCGATTGTCTAGTCGACGAACTATAAGTAATTACCAACACGCTAATTGCTAATGACTAGCCTCAAAAATTTGTCCAGAAGCCCAGCCAAATTCGTGAAATAAAAGTTGCTGTGCCTACTGTACTTAAGAAAAAGGTATTCTTAGAGTTGCCCTTTAAGGGTGCCAGTGCTTCTTTAAGGGCACTTCCTATGATGCCGAAGTTGTAACCATCGATCGAACTCATAAGCTACCGTTTCCTCCACTGAAGGAAACTCAGCCTATTGGGGCCAACTTCCACTGCGTATATCGATTCGTATGTAACTGCGGAGATAGTTACATAGGCAGAACCAATAGAACACTGAGTTCCCGAATAAAGCAGCATGTACCAAAATGGGTTCAAGGCGGAATTCTTCAGTAAGCGAGCCCAAGTCAGACTACGTGGGTACGGAGGTCGCCGGCATCTTTGATCGGCAGACACTTATGGACATGTGATCACCAAATTGAAGTCAAGGTGTTTAGGATCCTGTTTCGCCATACCAATTCCCGGCACATCAGGTTTGCCGAGGCTATTATAATATTGCTCGGATTAAGCCAGTGCTTTGTGTGAAAAAAACAATTCTCGGTCAGCCTCAGGCTGCCCTAATTGTAGAAGAAAGATACCCGCTTTTTCTCGTTTGTTTGTATGTATGTTTGTACCCAAAAACTGTTGTGTCAAATTATTGGTTATCGTTAGCGGCACTGATGAGACGATACGAAACGCATACATCTGCCGAACTTCGTCTTCTAATTGTGCTTTACAAGTGGAGGAAACGAAATTGGTCTTATCAACAGCATCAGTTTGGTGGACTTTTTAGTGAATCAATCTAGAATGCGGGACCCGTGAAGTTAACATCATTTCGTCGAAGCAAACGGCGTTACAGATAGTTCGTGACAAAGAGCACTCCAACCAAACTCAAAATCATAGAGTAACCAATAATCTTGGTTGTGAGGGGCAGTACGAACACAAGATTTGCGTTTACAACGTAAGGACTCATAGTCGCACGCACTGCGAATAGTCCGTGGCTCTGAAGCGAACGATGCATAGCGACTGATCTCGCAGCAGACGGTGGATCAGTTACATGCACGTATAACCTTGTGATAGATAAAGGACCAAAACAAGTTATTGGGTAGAAGAGCAGTGGATATAAGTAAGGAACACCGCTCGATAGCTCAAATAATGTGGCCACAATCATTTTGGCCCGGGGATATCTTACCAAACTCTTCACCTGGTCTGGTCACCAGTGGAGTGGTACAGGGCAGTGTCTAAGATCCGTTACTCTTCCTAATGTATATAAATGACCTTGTTGCTGTTATACAATTTGGGAATCCTTATCTGGTTGCTGATGATCGAAAGGTGGTTTACACGTTCCCATGTTCTCAGCATGCCGCTGAACTTAACAATATCCAAAGCGACTTGA